TTGCCCGCACCACTCCGAGAGAAGAGGGCCGAGAGGAGGACCCAGAGGAGGGAGGTGAGCAGGGAGCTCGGAGTCGTCGACCACCGGAGCTCGGAGTGCCGCCCCGAGCACCTACTCCAACGATGCGGCTTCCACCGCTACACGGCCACACCGTCATCCCCACACCGCCACTCCACACCGCCAAGCACACCGCGGTGAGCACCTTGGCTGAGACCTCCACCTAGCCCCATGGACGCCGAGCACGCACACGCGCCAAGTACGCCGCGGCGACGTCGAGCCGTCCTGGCTCGAGCACGCCAACGCAAGCCACACACGCGATGCCCTACACGCACGCACACGAGCATGCACGCGAGCATGCACGGGCGCGCCCACTGCAGCCACGAACACGGCCATGGCGAAACCACCACGGCCGCATCACCGCGGTAGAGGTAACGCCACCACCTCGGCTGGCTCCTCCTCGCTGCGGAACACGCCACGCTCGTGATCGAGGTAGACGAAGGCCGTCGCAACCACTTCGACTCCACCGTGGCCAGGACCGCTGGGAGCGCCTGGCGCCTCCTTGTCTCGCCCGCCCTGTTCACTGGAGCCACAGGAAGCTCACGCGCCCCGCCAAGCATGCTCCTAGCCACCACATCACCCTGCCGCCGTAGAGTACCGCCGTGACACCTGGATGATAGCCGTATAGACCAAGAAGTCGTTAGCCGGCCGCAGCACCTTGGCCACGTGCACCGGACCTCGGCGGAGCTCCACCGTGCACCACCACCGCGTGCGGACTCCACCGCGCCTTATGGTCGTCGTCGACGCTACTCTATGCCTCCCCGCTAACTGACTGAAGGAAGACGGGGCACCAGGACCCCTGGAGTTGCCCCTAGATGCCTCGCCGTCGAGCATCGCCACGCCGAGCCATCGTTCACCGTGGCCAGAGCTCTAGGAAGCCCTAGCCGTCGCCCCGACCCCACCGTCGCAGTCGCCATGGCATGGGGAAGCTATTGCCTACCCTAATCGGACGCTAGCGCCACCACAGGGGCTCACCGGTGACCTCACCGCCGGCGGGAGCCTCGTCGGGGAAGAGAAGGGGACTTTCCCCTCGCCGGCCACACGTCCGTGCACTTGGTGCACGTGGACCAAACCCTGGGAAGGAGTAAGTGGACCAAGTCCTTCATAGACCGGCTCTGCGGTCTATGGACCAACGCAGGCGGGTTCACCATGAACCGCGCCTCACCTGTCAGTCACCGTTTGACCCCAGACCCACCTGTCAGTGACCAACCGAGATGATGACGTCATGCTGACGTTAGCGGGACCCACCTGTCAGCCGCGGTTTAGCTCTGATGATGCCATACTGACGTCATGCCGATGATGTGACCACGCCAGCGTCGAGGACCTTGGCGACCTCTCCGACCACCTCAGCAACCTCTCCGACCACCTCGGCGATCTCGCCGACCACTCGGCAACCTCTCCGACCACCTCGGCGAGCTTTCCGACCACCTCGGCGATCTCTCCGACCACCTCACCAGCTGATACACCACTCAAAGTCTCTACATGCCACGTGAACCAGTCACAGTGTGACACGTGTCAGCCCTGAATTAATCAGCCTTATTATTTTTAGAAATAGATTTAATCTTCGGAAATTCATAACTAATTCATACGACCTCAGAAAAATATGAAATCAGGACCAAAATTCATCTAAAATCGAGCTCTACACAATGAACCCATGTTTGAGTGCATTTGGCTCTTTTGAATTTTCATTGCTTCTTTGTGCTATTCTATAGATGTTGCTAACACGACTATAATTCGATCGTATGCAGACTCGGAGGAGAACCAGACAGACGAGGATCGTGAGTACTGTGAGGAGTGCGGGGATGACTTCATTGAAGGTGCCACATCCCACCCAACCTCGTAGCACCTATTACGCACACTACTACACAAACTTTACTGGAGGCGGGCGTTTTCGGTTTTCCGCGGCGGGCAAAGCCGTCCGTCGCGGCCTAGAGGCCACGATAAATCGTGGCTTAACCGCAGCGGGCGGCCTTGCCCGCCGTGGTTAATCGATTTACCGCGGCGATCGGTGTAACGTGCCCGCCGTGGTAAATATACTTTTACCACGGCGGGCACGTTAGGATGCCCGCTGCGGTTAATCATTGAAAAAAACAAAAAAAACCAGGAGCCCATCGGCGAGCCCACTGGCGAGCCCACCGGCGACGGATCCGGGCTTCCCACGGCCGCAGATCCGTGCCGCTCGGGGAGGGAGAAGAGGAGCAGCCGGCGGGCCCCAGCGTCTCTGGAGAAGCCGGCTGGAGACGCCGACGCCACTGCAGGGCCGCCACCACCTCGCCAGTCGCTCGCAGGGGACCACGCCGACGCCTCCTCGCGGATCCCCGTGCCTCCTCGCGGATCCCGCCGCGCCGTGGTGGAGGGAGGCCGCCGCGCCGACGCATCCTCGCCCGCCGTGGTGGAGGTCCCAGCGTCGTGGCCGTGGTGGATCCCGGCGTCATGGCCGTGGTGGAGATCCACCGCCGGATCCGGTCGCTCCACCACCAGATCCATGGAGGAGGAGGGTGCAGCCACCAGATCCGTGGGGGAGGAGGTCGCCGCCGCCGGATCCGTGGAGGAAGAGGTCGTCGTCGCCGGATCTGGAGAGAGGAAGAGGGAGGAGTGAGGGAGATGGAGAGAGGGAGATGGAGATGGAGAGGAAGAGGGAGATGAACTCACTGGATTTGAAAGCCTAGCCCCGCGCCGTCGTCGTTCATGGAGGATCCGTGGGGGAGGAGGAGGGTGCGGTGTCGCTCTAAATCTGCACGCGCCTGCCGCCCATGGCGCCTCGATCCGCCATCTGGAGGCCTCGCGCGCCCTTGGAGGAGGCCGCTGCTTGCATCGAGGGAGAGTAGAGGGAGGCAGAGGGAGAGTGGGGGAGGCGGAGAGCTGAGAGAGAGAGAGAGAGTGGGGGAGGCGGCGACGATGGTGCGAGGGATGTGGGTGATATGTTTCAGTGAATCGATTTACCGTGGCGGACATTTTAGGATGCCCGCCATGGTAAATCGATTTACCGTGACGGACGTCTTAAGATGTCCGCCGCGAAAATACCCTATTTCGCGGGTATTTTCCCATGGCGGACATCTTAAGGCGTCCGCCATGGTAAATCGATTTACCATGGCGGGCATCCTAAAATGTCCGCCATGAAAATAAAGTATTTTCCGTGGCGGACATCTTAAGACGTCTGCCACGGTAAATCGATTTACCATGGCGGGCAAAAATGCCTGCCGTGGTAAATAAAAAATGTCCGCCTAGGTAAACCGTGGCATTTACCATGACGGGCAAAAATAGGTGCCCGCCTCGGTGACCTCCGGGGGGTGTCGCGCAAAATCATTTGTGTAGTAGTGACATGGCTAATATAGAACTGCTATTACTTTACTTTATTGTTATATTCACACTAAGATAGGACTTGCATGGTAGTATACTTACTTGATGGCCTTTACCTTGACGCAACCTTACCCCTGCTTACCCTGCTATTAGGCTAGACACACGCTTGCTGCTATATTTCATTGCTTATTACTTCTACTACGCTTGTACTACATTGATGCGTGGTGGAAACTGGTGTTATCTGAACTATGGGGAGAGTGCTGCGTGTGTGACTTGGGTGCGTGGAGGGTGAGGGTTGTGTCGATCAAGTTGGAATATACGATGAGCCTAGGGCAAGTCTTGCCGCGGGGTGCTACCTGGGCAACCCTGGAAATGGATACTTGTGGTGGGTAAATGGTATATGAGGTGGCCCTGGGTGTGAACCTGTGATGGGAGGAGCCCGGGGTGGAGGTGCTGTGGTGTCACGGTAAATGGAAACCCTGATGAAGACATTCTGGCTTGGTCATCCATAAGGACTTACTAGTACTCAGATTCACCAGGAAGCCTTACGTACCACTCGCCCTATATGGTGAGGGACGGCCGGACTACTTGGTAGGATATTGCCACTACTGCTAGGTTGATAGCGGACAGTGCGAGGAGGTACGGGGCGCGGAGGATTCCCCCCACACCCTTCCGAGACTTCATGGAGACCTTGTGGACCCGGCTCATGACTCACAGTTTCAGCCACCCAGACTAGACTTGGGGTGTATCAGGGCTGAATGGTAGAGTGGCATTATCCTAGGCTAGCAAGCGGCCGAAATCAGCCCAGTTGACGACGGTCAGCGAGGAAGGCGGATCTTGTGGTTATGTAAAACCTCTGCAGAGTGTATGGTTGATCGATCGATACATATGCCGACTTGTTGGCTATGTACCTTTCTTGGGTTTCGCTTAAACTAGATAGTGAGATGAGTCATTCTCTTCTTCCCCCGTGAGAGAGTGTCGGTCGTAGCCAGGGGCTACGGCCATGAGACAGTGCCGAGAGGGAGTTGGCCTGTCGACTGAGCGATGGTATGGTGGTGATGTGGTGATGATGTGAAGATGGTGGTATATCGATCCCAGGATCGAAACCTGGCTCTGGACGGAAATGGGGTGGAATGAGTGTGGGAATGGTGTTAAAACTTGACCAACTATTAATATATATATACTTGATATGCTAAAACATAGGAAACTCTAGCTTTATAGGTTCCTTTTGAATATATCCAACTTGCATCTAATTTTCACAAAGCAATGCTCATAGGGTGGGAGTGGCCAGTACAAATCGTACTGATAAATTTTGGCACACAGGTTCTGCTGAGGAGTATAGCTCTGAAGAGTTTGACGGTTGAGGGGTTCGTTCCTACGCTCGAGTTTGGCGATCTTATCTTCGAGCTGTTCTGAATGAATGCTACTTTTGATTCCGCCAATGCGGCGATGTAATAATTTATGTAATTCCGCACTATTTGTACTCTGATATTATCGTTGTATGAATGTGGTATTCGATTGGAATTTGGATAATATAATCTACAACGGTCATAATACACTTCGACTCTGTGGATTTCCCTTCGCGGAAATCAGGTCGTTTCAGCGGCGGTCGAGCATGAAGCACAAGGCAGCGCGGAACGCACCCGAGTTGTTGATGTAGTGGTCGCAGTCGCAGTTGATGATGAAGGGCGCGTTGGAGAGCAGCGCCGAGACGCGCAGCTGCACGTTCATGGCGCCCGCCTTCTTCTGGTGGTCGTAGCCCGGGCACTTTTCCCGCTCGTTGTACACCAGCATCGGGAGGCGCACGTCGACGGCGCTAAAGTCAAGGGGGCTGGAGGAGCTCGCCGGCGTGCCAAGCTGAGGTTCGTCGCCGGGATGGTTCAAAATAATCTGTGCCAGAGGAGCGCATATTCGTTACCAAGTAGGCAAGTACTAATATTTTCCAAGTACTGAAATCCATTTATGGCAGTTTGATCCTCATTCTCGTATGCAAACTGCCATGTACCTGAACAATGGCGGCGTGCTGTCCTTTCTTGTGGTTTTCAGCCGGCTCGGTCCAAGTGCCAGGCCAATGCGTCCCATCGGCCATGTACGTCGCATGGTCACCACCTCGATTCGCGTCGTCACGGTGGTTCGCCTCCGCCGACCTCTGTGGAATGTCGGTGAACAGCGCTTGCACCCGAGCCTTGAACTCCTCGTACTCCTGGCGAACGCGCCGACGGTCGCCGACGAACTCCCCCGGCGCATCACCAGCGTACGGCGCGTCCGCCTTTGCCGCGAAGTAGCTCTCAGGTGCCCTCGGCTCGACTCGGTGCTTCCGGCAGAACGGCGTCCACAGCGCGGCGAACCTCGCGGTCTCGAGCAGCGCCTCGTAGTGGACGAGCGACCCGCTGTCGTCGGAGAAGTACGTCGCGTGCCAGTCCACTGGGTAGTCCGTGGCGAGGATGGACAGGACGGAGTTCATGGTGCACAGCACGGGCTCGTCCACGGGGTCCACGGTGTTGATGAACACGTCGACGCCCGGGAGCTGGCTGGAGCTGCCACCGCCGCTGGGAGTAGGAGGATCGACGTGTTGGTTGAGGAGCGCGAGGTTGGGGACGCGCCGGATGGGGACATGGGGTTGAGCTTGGACGCCTGGTTCAGCAGCCAGCTGACGGCGAACCAGAAGTCGCCGACCACCGTGACCCACCATAGGACAATGCTGTCCGAGTCCCGGTGCCTCAAGCGCCAGGTGAAAAACTGGACGATGACAATCAATCTGGCCAAGGTCAGCAACCTGTTTAACGGGAATGGGAAAAGAAAGGATATTAGAAGATGAAAAGTGTATTTAAATTTCTGTTAATTTTTGGTCAATTTCTAACGGTCAGATAACATTCAATAAATCTCGTTGATTAAACTATATACGTAGATATATATAGTGGCAAAACCTCCTATACTTAGCAAAACAAGTCCGGCTCTCAACACTAATTTAGGGGTCAGATATCGCACGACACCGTCGCGCAATAGGGGAGCGCGTGACCCAGCCCCGCACGCGCAACCAAGCACAACCCGTCGTCCTCGCACCCTGCCCCCGGCTTCCACCACCGTCGTCCGCACGGCTCCCGCCGCCTCGTCATGCAACCCGCCTCACGGCCCCGCCCCTCGACCCCGTCCTCCCCTAATCACAGGGCAGGTCGCTGATGAGCTTTGCCACGACGCCCCCGCTGGCATCGGTCTCGGCCCCGCCCCTGCCCCCACCCTCCCCTAATCACGGGGTAGGTCGCCGGCGAGCTCCACCGTGATGCCCCGCCGCCAGCCCCACCCAACCGCCGTCTCGCGCCCACCTCCACCGCCGTGTCGTGACTACCGCCCCCAAACTCCCTTCTAAGGCCCCCGGTGAGCGTTCTTCTTCCTCTTCGGTGGGGCGTGTGGACGCGATAACTCGCTCCTTCTTCCTCTTAGTGGGGTGTGCGGGTGGCTCGGCGGGGAGGAGGGCAGTAGGATGGGCCGGCCTGTGTCATGCGGTCGTGAGTAAACTTTCCGTAATTTAGGGCAGGTTGTGATGCTGATTTTGGACATTGAAGTCCCGTGGAAAACCGATCCGGCTAAGCTTGGGCCAGAACAATTAAAATCATTTTTATTTTACATTTTTTGAGCAACAATCATTTTCTTTGGTGGACGCCTCAACCTGACTTGGGCCAGATTTTGCAGGCCGAATAGAGTTAATTGCCCGAGTCGGGGACCAATTTTGGGCCTGAAAGAAATGCGGTCTTTTGTGGCCGTGGTTCACAAAATGCGTAAACACAACGATTGCTGAACGGCAATTATTTTATTCTAAAAAACAGTTTTTTTGTGAAGTAACAGGATATGCATAACTAAATTTTTAGAACGGTCATGCTAACCTGCATGACATGATCAAGATGAAGTGAGTTAAACGCTTATTAGTGTGACCAAAACGGTGGCATGTTTATTTGAGCAACAGCGCTTTTGGGCTTTTAAGCTGGCTTTGTATCTTCTGGTTGTTGGTTCTTTTGCTATTATTTTTATAATAATATAAATTAATAGCTTCTCGGCACATCAAAAGTCAGAATAACTTCCCAAAACGTACTTTTTAGCCTTTTAGCTCATTTTCTCAGTAGCCAACTTTCTAGATTTTTAAAAGCTACTAGCAACAACTAGACTATTTGTTTTATATTAGCTTCGAGCTTTTGGCCGACAGAAAAGCCGAAACAAACATGCCCTTAATAATTAGCCATCTAGAGATACCCCATTAGTCGGTTGCATCACCTTCTATCATAATTGAGTGTATCATCATGCAACTCTGAAACCAGAATTCCGAACAAGAAAACATTGCATGTTTAGCTACCCTTTCGGGTGTAAAGGTATGATGCACTTTATTTCTTTCCCAATATTTTCCTTTATATTAGTTTGGTCTTTTTATATCAAATATTTTTTAATGTATATTGTATTCCTTTTGTTTTTATAAATATGTGATTATCAATGTTTATATTGGAGATTCTTTAATGCTGTAAGATCTCTCTGCATCTTATATGGGTCAATTGGTGTTCAAACTTCATGGTTTTACTAGAAGATATGGCATTGAGGGCTTTAGTAGTTAGCCCTGAAATCCAAAGGGTAGAGATGTTTTACTAGTCATAGGGAACCAGAAGAGCCTGAAGAGGCCATTTATTTTACTTTTATGATTTATTTTTTCTAGACGCAACCGTAGCGTTAGCACGGGCAATGTACTAGTCATAATTGAGTGTATCATCATGCAACTATGTCTCATGTCTTATCCTGTAGGCTAATCATTCTTCTCTCCATATATATACAATCCTCTCGTTGGCATCGCTTATCATTCTTCTCTCCCTATAGGCTAATTAGCTGAATTGTTGAAAACTACCTTTGTGGACAAGGAAATGGACAAAATTTTAGACCGTGTTTGCAGCTACTGCTGCTACCACAATAACCGTCAAGAGAGAATTGAATTAAACTTTGTGGACGGGCGTATTTTGAAATTTTCCTTAACTATAAGGATGTCAACATTGGGCAAATTTTCTTTCTGAGCACATGCATTCAATTTTGGGGCCACACTGTTCCAATTTTTTTTTTTTTTTTTTTTTTGTGTGGCCACACTTTAACTTACTCGGTAGGATCTTTTACTCATTTTTATAAATCACTAACGTGTGAGATCTGACACCTATTGTGAATGAATTATATATATAACCACCTTATTGTCCAACTCCATCTCAATGTGGGACGAATTGTGCAAGATGATGCTACGTGTAACATCAAATGGGGTCGAGTACAAAACAAGACGTGCATGAGCACATGTCATGTGAAAACTATGTTCGTGTTGGAAACTTAAAAGTTTTTCTTAAAAACTGTACATGCATGAAGGTTTCTAAAAATCATAAAAATTCAGTATTGGTAGATGCGGGTTTGTGGTATTCAGCCTATTTGCTTCGGCGCAGCGGATCCTGATCGTTTATATATGCATGGTATGGTACTGTAGGAGTAGCTGGTGGTATGGTGCTGGTGCAGTTGCAATTACAAATCCATCTGTCGCTGAAATCTATGGGCCTGTTTATGGTGCCCATCATTCACCTTCGTACATGACCCCATTTGACAGATTAAAAAAGATATCTGTCGCTGAAATAAACAAATCTACCCTTCGCGTACGGTCCAGTGACTTCAGAGGCAATCACGTGCAACGCGTCGTCTTTTGCACTTTTCTCCACACGTACTACGCACCTTGTCAATGTCTCACGCGCGTTAGAATGCTTTAGGCTGCCTTTAGTTTGAGAGAAAGTTGGAATTTGGGTATTGTAGTATTTTCGTTTTTATTTGGTAAATAGTGTTTAATCATAGACTAATTAGACTTAAAACGTTTGTCTCGTGATTTCCAATCAAACTGTGCAATTAGTTTTTTTTTTTCGTCTACATTTACTGCTTCATGCATATATCATAAGATTTGATATGACGGATACTGTAGCACTTTTTTGGAACTATTTTTGGACGCGCTTATAGTGCTGTTTTGTAAGGCCTTTGGGTCACTGCGAGCAACATGCCGTCCTTTTTTTTTTTTGATAAATGTCTGCTGACACCACTAGTTCTGAATCACTACTTCAGTTCTTGAAAAATAAATGTCGTTTCCGACCGGAGGCATGTGCAAGGAAAAGTTACTTGTCTGAACGCCATCTATATATTTACGACAGGACGTATCACGTACTCCTAAACTTGCATCTTACTTAGCTACTTGCATAAATCAATCCACATTCACAGACATCTTTAGCAACATGGGAAGAAAATAATGCACATTGCCTTTGAAATTACTAGTCAGCTAGCTTTTCCGATTAACCAAGATCATCGATATTGCAAGTGTGAATGAATCTGACGAAACTCCTGACAGCTTTATTAGTTTATTACCAAACTAAACTACCAATAATTGCCCTGTTCGTTTGGCCTTGTTTAACTTATAAGCCATGGCTGAAAGTACCGCGTTGGCTGGTTTGGTGTGAGAGAAAAATATTATTCGTTGGCTGATAAGCCATGACTTATAAGTCAAATACGATCAAGCGAACATGCTGAATATCAAGCGTATAACGTACCTGTAAGTTTGCAGGATGATCCCTTTAACCTTGAACGTCTGGTACAGCAGCGGCCGGCGGCAGTCCTTGCCGCCGTGTTCCTCCGCCGCCATTTCGTCCTCGTCGTCGACGGGCACCCAGCAGTGAAAGGGTAGTGCACTTAACTTGCAGGTGCATAGATAAGTCTAATAGGAGGTGTATATAGTGAAATTTTAATCAGATTCGCTGTTTTTTCATTTTTTGTGTGGTGCATTTGCAACCCGTACACATAACATACCTTCGCCCCCTGGCACCTAGTACTTCTTCTTGTCCTTGCTGATGGCGCCGGCCCGCCCCGTGCCGTCGCCGTTGGCCATCAGCAGCGGGTCGGCGAGACCGCCATTTCCGGCTGCTGCCGCCGGCGAGAGCATGCCTTCCATGCCCAGGGCTCTGCAGTACTCTGCTACTACCAGCAGCGCGCTACCTTCCTAGTTCCTGTCCTCAGCTCTACGAGACTATAGGCGCTGAGGAATTCATATGCAGTAGCTGGGCGACGCACCTGCGCGGAGGAGCGCTTCGACGCGGATCGGAGCTCAGGGAGCAAGAGTACAGTACAAGCCACTCATTTTATAGGCACAGGGAAACACGTGATGAGCAGGCTACACGGCGGGAGGAATCTGATCGAGCTGCGGGACGCCGACACTCAGGCCCCGTTTAGATCTAAATTTTTTTTATTTTGGCTACTGTAGCACTTTTGTTTGTATTTGGTAATTAATGTCTAATTATGGACTAATTAGGTTCAAAAGTTTCGTCTCACGATTTCTCATCCAACTGTGCAATTAGTTTTTTTCATCTACATTTAGTACTCCATGTATGTACCGCAAGATTCGATGTGACGAATACTGCGTAAAATTTTTTAAATCTAAACGGGGCCTCAAACGGAGGGAGAGTGCGTATCGGTTGAATAAAGTATAAGCATCAAAATGGCGCACCTTCGTTCTCATCATCCATTAAAGTACAGTTTTCAAAAATTTTGAAACTTTGCACACTGCTCTAGATCTAGGTGGAGTTATGTTCTACATAGATGGAAAGTTTTAACTGCTTTCAGGTTCCAATTCTTTCTGACAAACGCAAGAGCACCTTAGAAAACGGTCCGGAGGGTGTAAATACAAGGACTCAAGAGCGACTCATGCAACCCAATCTTTGGAGTTTGGTGGAAACTGGAAAGTTATGGATGCAGTGTCCTGTGCAAGCGACAGTGGTTTTACACGTTTCTGTGTAGGTGGGCTAGCGAGTGTTTGGTTAGTAACCGTATACGTGGACTCGCATGAAGGCGACCGGGCATGCATTGTACTCCCTCTATTCCAAAATACATTTTTGTCGCGTTGCATCACGCTTTGGGTGTAATAACCCTGTGTGCTGAAAATGGCCGACACGGGCTCGCGGGAGCGACAGAACAAAGCCCTAGTAGGGCCTGGCGCCCTATGACTCTGCCCATCTGTTAGGCTCTGAGGGTCTGACACGTTCCAGAGAAATATTCTCAGCGTCGGTTGGGATGGGAAGCCTAGCCCAATCAAGGCCAAGGGCACGTGGTGGTCCTTGCTCGGCTATTGCCTCCCAAGGTCGGGAACCACTTTGGCATGGCCGATCCCTTGGGTGTGAGTGACTTGTAGGTGAGGACTTATATATCCTCTCGGCTCATTTCCCAGGCGCTTAAGTCTTTTCCCTGAGGTGTGACTTCTGAACCCATCAAGCTATTCATTATTGGGCCAGAGGGTGCGCGCGAGCGCACTAATGGATGTAGCCCCCGACCCCTGCCTTGAGAATTAGTGATGGGTTTAACCGGACTGTCGTAGCATTTATTTGGGGGTTGTTAATGTACCCCTATATTTTACTCAATATGAGCCCAAAACAACCCCATACTTTCATGTTTAGGTAGGCACCCATTTACAGGGTGTGTTTTTTAGTCCAACTCCAACCATACTCCCTAAATTAGTCCACCTCCTTTTTCAATGACATGCGGGATCAATCTGTCATGGAACTAACTTGCTCTTATTTTTTTCTCCTTCTTCGTTTGCACTCGACATCTCCCGTTCTCCGCCTTGGGTTTCTTATTTGGGAAGGCAAGTTGCCGGCTTGGGTTCAACGTCGGGAGAGTAGGAGGCCTGTCGGTGTGTGCCGCTTGAGGAGGAAGAGGCTCGGCGAGGAGGCCGGCGTGGCTCGTGTCCTGGAGAGGCGTGACTCGACTAGGGAGGGGTACTTGGATCTAGCGTTGGTAGCCTTAGAGACGGGGTCGAACACAGGCATGGTGGACGCGCGACACGCTGGGTGGCGGTGTTGAGCGTGGAGATAGCATCGGGTGTGGAGGACGCAATGTCGGGTGACGAGTATCGAGTGTGGAGGACGCGATGGCGGCGGGGCAAAGGGACGGCGTTGGTGGTGGGGACTGGGAAGCCTACCGGACACGGCCGAGGGGAGCATTGCCGGTGAGGAAGTGACCGGTGGTGGTGGGGAAGGAGGCCGGTGGCAAGCACCCACCAGGCGATGGTATGGAGTTGAGCGCGCAAGTGGGAAATCAATACCGAGCATGCTATCCTGTGTTTGTTGCTCGGGCGGAGTAGGCGAGGCGGTACGGACTTACCAACACGTGCCGTCGGCGTTTTATGCATGAGTGATTCGCCACCCTTTCCTTACGTGCCGTCTCTTGGAGGTGGCGCATTTCTCTAACGGAAGGCAATGCACGGCTTCCACAGTTCGCTATGGCGGCCCAAAGGCTTGAGTCCCTTCTTGTTGCGGTCATGTGATTTTTAATAAGAGGAAATTCTCATGGATGGTTGGTTGGTTGGTGGATCGTGGACCTGCACATGTGATTATGTGAATATGTCTTTTTTCACGATTGGGTTAGACCGTTTTTCATTAAGAGGAAATAAGTTTTAATCCGTTACGAGAGATGCGAGACGATGCCGGCGAGAGAGCCAACATCACGGCCCGCCGATCGACCTAACTACCCAATTCCTTTTCGATATTACATTGGGATGCAATTTTGCGACCAAATATTATGACCTAATAATAGTAACGCCTAGGCGGCGTGAATGGCCCTAGTGGCCCACTGCTTCCTGCCAGGAAATAGAACCTGCATGGCCTCCCATGTTGACGACGACAGCAGCAGCTTGAAGGTTGTCTAGAACTCCTGAAATTAAGCCTCGTCAGGGAGCTGTGTCTCCACCTCAATGCCAAGGTGCTTCATCATCACCTTCCTCGCTTGCACCTCCGGCTTTTGCTCCCTGTACTTGCTCTTCGCAGCCAGGCGAGCACTCCGTTTGGGGATGAGCTCATCATCCTCAATTGCCCTCGCCCTTGCTGACCTGGTGACCCGCAGGCGTGGCGGCGACGAGTTGCGACAGTGGCTTCCTGAAAGTGGAGATAAAGTCATCGACCGGCGCCGGTTGCAACGGAGGCGTTGGAGTGCGGATAGCTGCATCATCGACGAACTCGAGCCAGTCGATGGGCTGAGGCGAAGTATCCAAGACTGCATCACCCCCGAGCTTGGAGGCCTCAATAGTTTGAGGCGGGTACAAGGGTGCCCCAGCCTGCTGAGGTCCGGCGATCTCAACGGTTAAAACCAGAGACTCCACCCCTAGCTCCAGCGTCATGAGGTGTGGCCTGAGAGTGTTGTGGCCGGATCTGCAGTCATCAGGGCCCGAGAGGCACAGGTCCACCGCCAGGGCCGTCTCTGAAATCTGCGGGCTAGCCTGGTCCCTATCGAACGTGCATCGGAAAAGGAAGTCAGGGCCATCACAAGGCCCAGTTGGGACATAGGTTACTCAGCCCATCATCAGCTCAAACTCCTCCTCTAGGGAAGACCCTACCATGCCATGGTGACGAGTGTGGGACACCCGCCCGGCGCGCGGATCGATGTCGATGGAGAGAGGCCGTGCGCCGCTATCGCTGACAACTTTCCGTGGCGTGCACAGCAATGCCTCGGTAAGCATCGGGTCGATCGCTGCCCATTCAGGAGAGGGTGAGCCAGGGCGCCAGAGCACGAAGTCAAACTGGTTATCCAGGAATGGCTCGACATCGTTGGCGGAGGAAACACGGCGGGTTACTCAACCAGATAGATGTTGTCATCGAGCGTGGCATGGCTGATGGCCCTGGCCGCCTATACGTCGTCTCCAAGGGGTACTGCTATTTTGCTAATAATCTAGTACTATTTCAGTGGACGCTCTTCCAAATTCCTGCACCGGCCGTTTTTTACTTCCAAATCCTGGTAGTGTCCCTTTAGTTAGTTGTTCACTAGTCAATGGAATTCTAGTCCAACTGTGCTACGATTTGCTGCTCTTGAGTTTATTTCGAACGTGCAGCAGCCAGCAACTAGACAAATGCTCAAATGTTTTCTTTTTTTATGCCGTAAGAGTGTTGAATGATATATGGCCAATTGCATTACTGCCCTTGTTTTTAACTCTAACAGTACGTTTGCCCCTGTTTTTTTTAACTTTATAGATTTGTCCTCGTTTTTCGAATCTGAAGCTTCCACTTGCCCCAATTCCGTAAAGGAGAGTTAACGATGTTAACTGAAAGTTGAAAAGACATAAATGCCTTTGACATGAATGACCCAATAATCAATAGGATTTTGATGTACAAACTTATTGTGGATATATTGTGGACAAATGACAACCCATATTTTTTTTTGTAAATATCGAAATATAATATTTTGCAAGTCACTATGCATGCCAAAACAGCACAATGGAGACACCTTAATCAGTGACACACAATTGAAACGTGTCACTAATTGTAACATTGGTGACGCGGGTCAACAAAACGGGTCACTGATTAGTTGTCGCCCATGTCCAATAAACAAAACTCATCACTAATAATGATTTATCAAAGACACTTCCCAACTAAACACGTCACTAGTAACAAGGCCTATTGTCAATGACTCGCAGGGAGCAAACACGTCACACATGAAGTCTCTCGGACCCGAAAATATTAACTTCAGTGAACCAGCGACTTAAGTCTGGACTCCCCCGTCTGTCTCGTCCCATCCGCCGCTTCTTTCTATCTCCTGAGACTCTTCCCTACCTAGTCTCCTCCCATGTGTCCCCTCCTTCGGAGTCCCCGGCGGCGTCCGTGCTTTCCTTCTCCGGCAACCCACCCCTGGGCACGCGTTGCGCACTGCTTGGGCAGGCCGCCGCTCGCGGGCCCTGGCTGGCTAGGTCCCTGGCTACGTCATGCACCCTGACCTGTGGGCATGCCGGCGAAGCCCATGCCGGTTGAGCCTTGCCGCTCTCTGGCCAGGCTTAAGGCTTGGCAGCCATCGGCCCCTTCGTCGTGCCGGGGCGCTGGTTCTGTCAGCAGCTATGCCCCTAGCCACATGTGCCCTAGGTCGGGTTGGCCCTTGGCCGTATGCCTGGATCTGTGCAATCCCCGGCAGTGCCTTGCTCCTCCACCTACAACAGTTCTGAACTGGGCGTCACCCACTGAGGTAAGTCACTTTGCTACTTCCTGCTTCTGATGAATAGACTTGAATGGATGAATTAAGGATTGTGTACATGTCAGTGGAAGCAGTCTGCAATGTTTGAATAATTCTATGCTCTCTCCCTTCATCTTTTAGTTATGCTCTTGGTCTTTGCATGTATCAGCTTGCAGCAAATAATAGTTGACTACACCTTCGCAATGCCGATTATGATCCAGCAAGGAAGGCCAAGTCAAAGAACCACCCTTTATATGGGGCTACACTGAATTTGAACCCACGGAAATTACTGCTTTCTCTTGTAACTACTGTACAGTCTGCATTGCTGCTTTTGTTGCTAGGTAGATGTGATTTCTTAACTCCTTAAGTGTACTTGTTTGTATAAAGAATTTGATTGCTTTGTATATAAAGTTTGTATAAAGAATTTGATTACTGGAATGGATGAAATATGGCTGATGCATGAAGGATCCTAGTAGAGTTTTTTTTTTGTAAATTATCATCAGTGACACGTCTAGCCAAAATGCGTCTCTGATGCGAAAGTCCTCAGAGTCACGTCTTGGCTATTCACTGGTGACACTCATTAGAGACACGTTTCAACTATACGCGTCACTGCTGAGTCTCATCAGAGACGTGTTTTGACTATACACGTCACTGGTGACCATCATTAGTGATGCATGTTAATGTGTCACTAATCTTTTCTCATTAGAGACAATATAAGTCACGTATTTTTTGCGTCACTAATGACTATCTGTACGCATCACTAATAAGCTTTTTTGGCATAGTGAGTGTCGCGGGGCCAAAATCACGGCAAACATAGTTGTTCGACTCGATGTCAGAGTACGGGTCTTCGATGGCTCGGGTGGACTCAGGAACACAAGAATCACGCTTTGAAGATGTAACAGTTTATCCTGGTTTGAGCCAATTTGATCCCTATGTCTAGTAGTTGATGATCCTTATACTCAAGAGCACCCAAAATTGGGAGGTTACAACAGAGTGTAGAGAGAGATTTGGTAGGGGGTTAGCTCGATGCTAATCCTAAGGTTGCCTCACCACCAGTGGTGCCTTCCCCCTCGTCGAAGAGGAAAATGACGGGATGTGGAGGAGGAGCTCTCGGTGCCCCTCTCTGGGTTGCCTTGCTCCCTGTGCGGAGCGGAGGCCGATGGAATGGAATGGAGTGTCTGGTGATCGATCTGGGATCCTCCCCCCTCCTAGGTCCAACCTTATCCATTATATAACGAGATATGTTGGGTACATGATGGTTTGGTGGAACTAGTCTACGGTCTACGTGCGCTGGAGTTCAGGAGGGTCTTGCAGCGGTGCGCCGTGGACCGTGGCGGTGTCTTGGTGCCGAAGAAGCCTTGGGAGTCATTCGGCTGCTCTATTCTGACACCCTACGTGTCAGGCTGTGTCAGCTTGGATCGGCCTCCCCTAGATGGACCTTCTGGAGTCTTCTTGGTGGCGAAGGAGGTCGGCTTCAAGGGCTGACGTGTAGGCCCGGAGCCCCCGAGTCCCCAGGAGGCTGAGGGAAAGCTTTGTCTTCTTGTGTCACGCCCTGGACATGACCCTATCGGGGGAGCAGTTGGCAGGGCCATGCCTGGGCAGCGGCGCTAGGGAGCCCCCGAGCATCGGTAGCTCGGAGCTTGTTTTCTTGTGCCTGGGTCTTGGCTAGCATCGTTAGCTGGGCAGAAGCCAAGGACCGGGCTTGGATGCACCATAGATCGAGTGTCTGGGGCTCAGGGGCCCGAGCCCCAAGCGGCGGTCGTGGCCAAGTCAGGCTTGGCTAGGTCTCTTTGCTAGAGGGTGCGCGCGAGCGTGCTCGATGGGCATAGCCCCTGAGCCCTCGGGCGATCCTAAAGGGGTCGGTCCAGGGGTCTTCTTCGGTTGGGAACCATCGGACCCGAGGCTGAACATACCCATATGTTAGGATCTCGTCTGGAGCCCCCGAGCCCTTCGTGGGCTCACCTGGCGTGATGGCAACGAAGGGCTGAATTTGATCTTGTGGTGACCGAACCCTCCTTGGCGGGGACAATTTCCGCTAACAAGAGTGCTGCCCCCTTCTTCTTCATCGTGATGGGTGTTGCTCGACTATTGGGGCTGAGCGGAGATGGTGTCGAACCCTTCGTGAGTCTATGTCGCATGGGTCTTTGACTCGAGCGAGGGCTTGGCGAACTCGTCTAGGAGTTGTCGACTTCAGGCCCGAGGGCGCCCTGCTTTTTGATCGGGGCCTGTCGTGAGCCAGGTGATCAAGAACGTTGGGCTCTGGCTCGGGGCCATCTGATCATCCGAAGCACCACGCCCTTCTGAGGGATGTGGTAGTAGGCCTCGATCCTCTCGAGCCGGCCTTCTAGAGCCAACCTCCTGTGGCCATAGACCGAGGAGCGGGGAGCACGCTGAGCCATGGACGGGAGCCCTAGTTGGGTCCATTGCTTAGCGGCTCCCAACACAACTCCGGGGAGTTGGTTGGTTTTGGGGGATGCGCCACCTGAGCACCCGTTGATCGGGGGGGGGGGGGCTGCTCTGTCTAGGGAGCCGGTGCAGCCCCCGAGGCCACCATAGGGCCCCTTGCTAGCGGAAGGGGCGGCTTCTGGGCATGTCCCATCAGTTGACGCCATGTGCAGGCGGTTGATGGCATTTGGGCCATCGTGCCTGGTGGAGGAGTTATGGTGTGCACCCCCACGCCGTCTCGTCTTGTCTAGGAGATGGGATGTCGGAGCCACGTGGAGCAGATCTGGTGGAGGAAGAGCCGCTATAGTTGGTGTAGGCGGACCCGGGCCATCAATGGTAGCCGATGGGCCCGGGAGGAGCCAGACCCCCCCAAGTCCCACAAGGAGGCGTGCGCGGAGTGCGCGGTGCGCGTGGTGGAAAGTAGAGCAGGGTCTTGACTCATTGTCTGTGGTTCCCTGACTCTGGCTTTACTGCGGCCATCATCACGTAACCGCCCATAGGCATGTTGTGGGGATTGAAGGGGCACCTAGCTGGTTCCCCATGGCCCCTTCTAGCCACTGATGGCCTATCAGAGGGCCCAGAGCTGCTCATGGCACATCCCTTCCTTCAGCCCCTTCTCTTCTTCTTCTTCAGATCTGTCTTCTCGGCGGTGATGGCGGTGGTGGAGTGTGACGCTTCCCTCTAGGTGAGCTTGGTCTTGTCCGCCGGGCGACTGCTTCTTCGAGGGTGAAAGGACTC